TGATTTCAGCCCATGGTTGGGAGGCCCCAAGGCAGGAACAGCAGGGCAGAGGGTCCTGGAGGACAAAAAGGTACTCAACCCATGACAGGAAGCAGAGGGAAGGGAGGAGCTGAGGACCAGAATTCTCCCTTCCAGGTCACCCCCCAGTGACCTGCCTCCAACAAGGCCCACCTCCTAACATAAAATAGTGGGTCGATCCACTAATGATTACGGCAATCACCGCCTAAACACGGGAGGCTTTGCAGGGACACATTAGGGCTAAATTCTAACATGGCTCCCAAAGGGGAGCAGTTGTAGAATACTCATATTCCCACCAGAGGGCGCTGCTGGTCCCATCGATGAGCTCTCTTCAGCACCCAGCACCACAGTCGGCATCCGGGTTACTCTTGGCGCTGTCCACTCGATGGCTTTGGTCCAGCATGTCATGACGTCAACTCACCATGGCAGCACCACACAGGGCAATGTCCGGCCCCAAGTCCCCTGCGTCAGGAAGTCCCCTACCATCTCCATCCTTGGCCATTTCCCAGATGCGCTGGGGTTGGCCAGTTCTGCAGGGATCACACTGGTTCTGGGCTTCCCATCTGCCCCTGCCTGGCCCCTCCAGGGACAGGGACAGTCACAGCCCCTACTTTCCACACCGCCTGGGTTGGGGTCAGGAGGAGGCTTGGACCTCTTCGGTGAGGATAGCTTCCTGGCTGTGTTTAAGGGCGTGCTGGGCCTGTCAGCTTTCTGTCACTGCAGGAACACCTGAGATAATCAACTTACAAAGACAAAAGACTTGCTTTCACTCAGATTTCAGAAAATCTAGTCCATGATACTTTGGCCCTGTTGCTTTCTCAGTGAATCACGATAGAAGCAGGTGAACTACCAAAACCCCTCACCAAGAAGTGAAAAAGGAGGAAGTGGGCAGGGCTGGGACCCCACTGTTCCCTCCGGGGTACAGAACCTGTGACCTAAAGGCCTCCCATGAGGCCCCGCCTCCTAAAGTTCTACAACCTCCCCATAGCACTGGGGACCAAACCTTCAGCAGAGGGCCTCTTAGGGACACTTAAGATTCAAACAATGGCACCTGCTAAAATATGCTGTGAACAACATACCAGAGCCAGAAGCTTCCCATGTGGTGGGTAATACTGAGAAAATTTGCCCACTGGCAACATTTAGTGAACAGCATAAAACGAAACCTAGGAGAAAGAAATATAGCCAACACCACAACCGAAGACAATGCTCCCAAGTCCCTTATAATACTGAGTGCTGAGAGCTTTTGACCTAAATATGGTAGAAATGAAAGCAGGCCAAACATCAAAAGTACACACTCCTGCTGGATAAAGGAAACAGCTTCGCCAGTGGAAGGAACCTCGTTGCCCAGCTTCAGAGTCTGGGACAGAGCCTTCTGTAAATGATCTACATGCGGGGCTGGGCAGCACCTGACCTCAGGTGTAAGGTGGCAAAGGGACGGGGAAGCCACACCGCGAGCCCATGATAGTCCTCTGACACGGGCAGGCCCAGGTGGCACCAGTGCTTTTAGCAAAATCGCCTTCTGGTCCCCTAGAAGTGACACAGGCAACTGTTCCCCTAACCCTCAGGCAGAGGGGAGCTAACAGTGCACTGCACAATTGTGCAGGTACAGAACTGGGAAGTTCTATTTTGACAAGGGCAGAGGGGCTTGGAGGGCTTAGACAGGCTCTTTCTGGAGTAGCGATTTCCCACTCCATGAAAGCACTCTGCTTGTGGTTTGCTCAGGCCTCACTGGGGTCTGCAGGAACTCTCAACGGGTCACTGTGGTGGGGAAGGGATCCGAGTGTGATGTACACTGAGTGACCACGCCACCAGGGAAGGAGATTCGGCCAAGTCCAGCAGCAGTGTTCGCCCCAGGGATGCCGTGCCTTCACCTGCAGGCTGCATCACGGAAGGCTGCGCCTCCGGGTCCCTGAGACCCCGCGGGCCGTCACCGGTGGGCAGGAAGCCACCAGAGGGCAGCTGCATCCAGATAGGGCTGAGGAAGGGGTCTGCCACCCACAGGGGGCACTCAAGAGCACATCAGGAGCCAACCCAGGCCCTGCTGCAGCTGCTCTGGCCAGGAGCCACTCTAGGGCAGCCCCGGGTGTGTGTGACAGACTTCACACAACCAGCGAGGGCTGTTGGCTGACACCAAGCTGCGAACACTCAGTTTGGGACCACTCGGCTGCCTGGGTCACACAGACATGTTTATTGGGGGCTGTGCCGCTAGTTCTGCTCCCTGGGTATGCACCCCTCAATCTGGATCTCCGCCGGCCAGCCAGAGTATCTGTTCTTGGCATTATCAGAGTGATTGATCTGCGTGAAGGAGAAGAAAGCTTCATTACACACTAAGCCAGCGCACAAATATTTAACCTGTGCTCCGTGAGCACAGTCATGCGGCAGAGCCACCATCTGCCTGACCAGGCATGGCAGCTGACTTCCTCCCAGCGAGTCTCACTGAGGTATGCATGAGGTCTCAGACTTTCTGAGAGGAGGGAGGCGTCCTATGTGCTGACCCATCCGCTTGGCTAAAGAAATGTGACTGGGTGGACTGGAAGTCAAAGTCTATTGAATTTTCACAAATTAAAATGTTGGAAAGCACAGCTGTGGTGTTTAGTTTTCAACTCTGGGAACAGCGATTTTTCTTTTTTTCTCTTTGAGTCTTTAAAAAATTTTTATTTTTATTAGTCCATGTTTGCAGTACATAACTGTCATGGTTTGGGTCTAGCTGTCCACCAAAGCCTCATGTAGTCATAGGTGGGGCTTTTTCAGAGGTGGCTGGATCTAGGGTGTGTGATGCTGGGATTGAGGGCGCGTGATTACTAAACCAGAACACCGCCATAATCCTGGTAGTCTGGAATAAAAGGGGCAGAAAGGCACTGCTGAGGCTCCCTTGCTGCCTTTACCGTCTTCTGCTGCGTGAACTATTGCCCCTCTGCCCTGTTTTGGACCCAGCTGATCATGGACTGAAACCTCTACAATGGGAGCTGAAGAAACCTCTCCCCCTTTAACTGTGGGTGTCAGATATCTTGTCTCAGCAGTGAGAAAAGTAACTCGGACAGTAATGAACTCCTCATTACTGTCAGGTGCTGGAATGTGCACCTGACACACTTCATTCTTTCTGTGTCCCCTTTCCCCTCCCCAGCCTATACTTTGTGAAGTACTTTAGAGTTTGTTGCTTGGCGGTGTGTGGGTGTGTGTGTGTGTGCGCATGCACAGGAGCTGCTGCCAGCCCTTTACAGCTTCAACTCTCAGGTGCTGAAGCACCTGCACCTGGTACTTAAATAAAATTGTATGGGAGGGTCGGGGATTTAGCTCAGTGGTTCTGCTGCCTGCCTCACAAGCACAAGGTCCCGAGTTCAATCCCTGGTACCAAAAAAAAAAAAAAAAAAAAAAAGTGTGGGTCCTAATTTGGGATTTTAGTTATAGATCCCCCTTTTTACAGAACGCTATTGAGATATGATTCACATACTATAAAATACATTATTTAAGGAGGCATGGCGGTGTGCCCTGAACGCCAGCACTCTGGGAGGTGCACGCAGGAGGGTCACAAGTTCGAGCCAGCCTGGCCAATTCAGCAAGACTGTGCTTCAAAATAAAAACTTGAAAAAGGGCTGGGCATGGAGCCCAGCGCAGATCTCTGAGCAGATGAACAGTGTCCCATGGCTCAGCCAACCTGCATCCTGGCCCCATGATTCCACACCGGGTTACAGTGGACCCTCGAGTTACGACCAGCCTGACACAAACCATTTGGATTATGACCAATTTATGAACAAAGTCTTGAGTTATGACCCGAGTGCTGGCTTCCAGAGCTCTGGAAGGAACATGACATACCCTCTCCCGTGTGGGGCTCACTGAGAAGTCCCGGGCGGGCGTCTCTCTGAGGACACTGAGATCTGCTGTGTGCAGGAGAGAGACTCTGAAGGCTGTGCAGAGGAGCCTGAGCCTTCACTGACCAACCTGAGTTACAACCAGGCCTCGGAAAAGAACTGAGTTCGCAAGTCAAGAGCCCACTGTACTCTGCAGCACGCTGCTCTGCCCTGCTGTGCCCAGGGTTGAGACGCAGGTGCCCACTGTCCCCAGTGGGTGTCCACAGGGTGCCGCTGGGTCCTGGGCTAACCGCCCCAACTTCCAGGAGCTGCTCCATGCCACACCGCGCCCCTCCCAGCAGCGCGGGACAGGCCGAGCTTCCCTCCCACACCACAGCGCCCGGGGTAGGAGGTCCTCCTCACGACGCTCATTTGCCCTCTCTGGTTACCGAGGCGCTTGCGCCTTTCCATGGGCTCACCGCCTACTGCAGCTCCTGTAAAGAAACGTTTACTCCAGCCCTGTGCCCACTGTAAAACTGTGCTGTCTTTTTGTTGTCAAGCTGTAAGAGTTCTATATATGGCACACGCCTGTCATCCCAGCACCCACGAGGCTGAGGCAGGAGGATCGCTGTGAGATCAAGGCCAGCCTGGGCTACACTGAGTTCAAGGCCTAAACTACATAACCAGAACCTTTCTCAAAAAGTGTGTGTGTAGGGGGGTCCTGTATGTATTCTGGACTCAGGTCTATTATTTCCAAATATTCACTCTCACTCCACCGGCTGTCTTTCCAGTGTTCTTTGGAGCAGAAAAGTCTTTGATTCTGATAAAGACCGATTCATCTATTTTTCTTTTACCATCAACAGTTCCGTCTTAAAGAAATCACAGTCTAACCCAAGGTCACCAAGACTTACACCTACTTTTTCCTAAGAATTTAAGGCTGCTATGCTTAGGGATTGGTCCAGACCTGAGGACACAGCTCTCCCAGAAGCTCAGGGGCTGTCCTGCCTCGGGAGGTCACGACCCCGTCCTTCCCTGCTTGCCCTGTGACCGACCACAGCCTGGGGCCAGCGTCAGGAGGATCGCTGTGACTGTGAGGCCAGCCTGGGCTACGCAGTGAGTTCAAAGCCAGCCTAGTGAGTTTGTGATGAGAAAAACAAGCAAACGAAAAAGCTCACAACGATGAGAGCTGTGTTTATCCGTTACCACGTGTTTATTCGGGGCCTATCCTCGTCTGAGGCCCTGGTGATTGGCCCTGCCACCCCGAGCAGGACAGAGGGAGGCCGGCCCCGTGCAGGAGGAGGGGCAGGGCAGACAGCAGTGGTTGCAGGTGGGGAAACCGACTCCCAGCCCCCACTTTCAGGGAGACCTGAGAATGAGAACCCACAGCCAGGACACCACAGCAGCTAGCGGCCTGGATTTGCAACAGCCTGTGTCCCACGGGGGGCCCACAGTGAGAGGAGCAGCCACTCGGGGGCCCCGGACCAGCTCACCTTCTCCCTCGGAAGTCCTGCGGGCAGCTCGAAGCCGGTGGCCGCCAGGAACACCCAGCTGGATCTGAACCGCATGTTCCGGATCTCTCTACTGCCCAGGGCCTCCAGGGCGTCCTTGGCATCGGCCTTCAGTCTGGGGACAGAGGGGCGGGGTGAGGACGGGTCCCCAGATGACATGCGGGCGTGTGGGGCAAGCAGCTCACGTTTCTGGCCAACAGGGGTCACATCCACAGCCTTCTATTGCCTTGGGCTGTGTCTGTTTGTGGGACCGGGGGGCTGAACCCAGGGCCTTAGCACTGAGCTGCATCTTCACCCTCCTTTTTAATTTTTATTTTGAGACAAGGTCTCCTTAAATCACTCAGTTGTCCTGGCTGGTCTTGAACCTGCGGTCCTCCTGCCTCAGCCTCCAGAGTGCTGGAATGATAGGCCTCAGTTCTAAGCACAGAATCCCCGCTCCTGATTCTCACAGGCCCTGGAGCTCGGCTCCCTCACACCCTTGCACCTGGCCAGCTTCGCAGCAGTCACCACTGTCCCTGCTTCCCAGGCCCGAGGCAAGGCGGGTGGAAAGCAGCTGACCGAGGACAGCAGAGGAAGGAAGTGAGCTTCAGGGGAACCTGGGGTCAGGCTCATCTGGGAGATGCCGGGGGCCAGGTGTGCATGTGCGTGTGCGTGTACATGTGCGTGTGCATGGGCACTGCATGTGTGCGTCTTCCCCGCTGCTCCCTGAGTAAAGAAGCGACCTCCATCTCCCTCCTACCTGCAAGTCCCACCTGCTGGCTCCTGCCTGGAGAGGCCGCACCTCGGCCCCGCAGCTGCTGATTGTGTTCCCGCCAGGGGTCCGATCGCAGGCTCTGGGTCTACTGGGCACCACCCATCCCTCATTTGCTGTGAGGGCTCTGACCTCCCTGAGGACCCGGGCAGGACCCAGCGGCAGCTCCACCCCCTCACCTGGTGCTCCCGTCGTCATGGGTCACCATGAGCAGCAGGGACTTCGCGGGTGCGCTCTGGATGAACTGGGTCAGGGGCTTGGAGTTATCTGCGGGGCCAGCCGGAGGCATTAGGGCACTGGCCATCCTGGGGCCCTGCCCTGGCCATCTCTCTCCTGCCTCAGCCTGCTCCTCCGCTCTCAGCCCCTCAGGGAGCAGGGTGAGTGGTGGGGTGTGCAGGGGAGGCCCCGGGAGTCAGGCCTTGACGGCGCCGTAGCAGTCCTTGCTGTCCGTCATGCTGACAGGGAGTCAGACCCCAGGGTAACACCACCCACCAGGGATCGAACTCGGGACCTTGCGCTTTCGGGGCAGGCGGCAGAACCACTGACCTAAATCCCTGGTCCTCCTTTTACATTTTAAGATACTATCTTCTGAAGTCACTAAGCTACCCAGGCTTGAACTCTCGATCCTCCTGCCTCAGCCTCCAAAGATGCTGGGCTTGCAGGTATGCACCACCACGCCCAGCTCAGAGCAGCCCCTTACACCTGCAATTGAGGAGTGCACCCCGCCAAACCTACACCCTAGAAATGCAGGCCAGGAAGCCCCCCCACCCTGATTCTTGGCGCCTCGGTTTCTCCTCAGGGTCTACCCTGTGTTTAAAATTCGCCGTAACTCTCACTTTCCTTACCGCCTTCGTACATGTCAAAAGTCTTCGTGGCTATCACCTTCCCAGTTACATCTGGAAGCGAAAGAACAGTGTTTAAAGGAAGCTGCCAGAGCCCAGGGTACGGTGGCCCCCGGCCCCTCGAGAGTGCGGACAGCTGGGGCCAGAGAGGGGCGGCCAGCCTGGGCGGGGCCGATCTTTACTCCCCCCCTCATCTTCACCAGGAACACAGACAAAGCTGCCTGGCCCCTCCCTCTGGCCCCTCTCCCCTCCCGCTCCAGCTCTTGGTCTTCTTGCCTTTTGCAAAATGTCCACCGCCCTGTTTCCCGCTGTCTGCCTTTTATTTTGCCCTTTGGTTTATTTACACTTTGGGTTTCTCATCTGAGAGAAACCGTGCGGCATTTAAACCTCTGTGTCTGATAAGTTTCACTTAATTTATGGACTCAAGGAGCATCCGTCTGCCTACAAATGCCTCGTCCGTCCTTCTTGGTGGCAGAGCCGTGCTCTGTGGTGTGTAAAGACCACGTTTCCTTTGTGGCTTCATCTGCTGGTGGACACATGGAGCCTCCGAGATTCAGCCACTGTGAGCTGGGCTGTCTGCATGGTGTGCGTGGCTCACTGCAGTGAGGCCTTAGGCTGAGGGGATCTGAGCACTGTGCTGTGGCCCTCAGTCCCTCCCAGCCGGCACAGAGGGTCCCCAAGGTCACTGGCCTGACGGCATCTGGTCTCGCGTGCCACGGCCCGTGCTGCCCACCCCTCCCGGGGACACCGTGGGGAACCCGTTGCCAGAGCTGCTGCAGACCCACAGTGGCCGTGGGACTAACAGGAAGCCATAGATCGCTTTCCACGGAGTTCTGGGTCACACAGAGGGACAGACGTACAGTGTCCCCTCTGCTCAAACACTCATCTGGGGCGGAGGGGAGCAGAAGCCCGGGACCCTGCTCTGTGCCCAAGCCAGCTGCTCCTCCGGTTTGCTCCGAGCCGCTCCTGCAGGCCCCAGGTGTTACTGTAAAGCCTTTGCATATTGAGCTTTCCATGCACTTTTTGTTGTCACCAGAACCACTAACAGTCTGAAGAGCGAGGCTCATGAAAACAAATAGTTAACTTTAAAATTCATTAAAATGGAGCCCTGGACTGGACCGTGTCCACAGTGCCTGATAACTCAAGATTTCTGGGAAATCCCATCTCAGAACTGCCGGGCAAGTTTGAGAAAAACACCCGCTGACTTACAGCTGACGATGGCGATGTTTATCCCTCTGCCGACGTTCCCCATCTTCTCGCCCACAAGCCTGAAATGAAGGTGGCGTTGGTCCGGGAGGCCCGGTTCGCAGGCCCAGCTTTGTGGGTCCCCACCGGGCATGGCCCCTCCGGCCACTGCCACAGACGGCCACGGCCGGGTGTGGCCCAGGAAGGTGCCACTCCGCAGCCAGCAACATGGACTCAGGCCCTGTGTGGCGCCTGCACCGACCCTCCCAGCCCAGGGAGATGCCCATGTGCCGTACACAGGACCCAGCTCCTTCACACCCGCCAGGCACTGACCACTCCCCGGGCCACGGAGCCCTTCCCACACTGCAGGTGTGAGGCTGGACAAGAGGGTCCGGAGGGGAAGGGAGGCTGCAACCCCAGTGTGGCCCCAACACCCCTCTTCCCACCCCTCAGTGTGTGACAGAGCCTGGGTCCCCCTGGACAGCCTCCCACTGCCACCAGGGTAGCCCAGCCCCTCGCCTTCCACCGCACCGCTCACCGTTCCCATTTTACACTGATTTGTGAACTGTCCATTTGAAAAGATTTTTCCCTAAAACCAGAAGGACCGAATGGCTGTGGTGGAGACAGTAAATACATGAACGGTCGTGGGCGCTGCAGGTGTGTCTGCGAGTGTGTGTTCACGTGCGTGTGAACGAACTCTTGGCCAGGTTCTAGAGTCGGGGGTGAGAGAGCACCCTGGGGAGCACTCGGAGGCGTTGTTTCTGCACCCTGGAAGTGTGGCGAAGGGACTTGGCCTTCTGTTCCGGTCAGGCCTGCTGAGCTGCCCCTCTCCTCCCCCACAGAGGCCTGGTGCTTTGGAACATTTTGGAAAACACAGTTTACAACTCTGTTTGTACAGAGTTCAGAGAGACAAACTCGAGTGACCGCGTTTGCTGCAATGCACCCTCGGGCAGGGAAACCACCACGAAAAGCAGCCATCATCACAAGCACCGCTGCAGCACGGAGAGAGGCACTGGGCTCAGGAAGGGCACTCCGGGGGCCGTGGAGTAACAGTGGTGACGTCGGGTCTGCACTAGACTGTCCGGGGAAGTCTGGGGAGTTCAGAGGTGGGACTTGGGAAGGCGACTGGGAGATGGGCACGCTATCCTGGCCGTGGATTCATCTGCTCCTGAGTTCGTGGCCACACGTGTTGTGAGCAGGTGGGCTGGCTGGGGTGGTCGCAGGGGACGTGACCTGGAAGGCGGTGTCCTCATCCCCAGCTCCTCCCTCCTCCCTCTCTCTGCTTTCCGGCTGCCAGAATGAGCAGCGTTTCCTCCACTGTGCCCTTCTGCCATGCTGCTTTAACCATGGACTGAACCCTCTGAAACCCATGGACCCAGATGAAGTTCTCCCGGTCAGAGACACATGGATCTCTACAGGGCCGGCTCCGGGGAGGGGACAGAAACCCCAGCACTGCATCATACTCACAGCTCATCCTCAAAGCAGATCTTGGCGTGCTTCTCTCTGCCCCCGCCGCTCAGCATCCGGTAGGCGTAGGTGCTGGGGGGACATGGGGTCCAGTGGTCGCACTTTTGCCTCCTGGGCAGTGGGGCTGCATAAGCAAGAGGTACAGCAGTCAGACGACCCTGCTGGTGAGCACACGGCCGGCAGAGCATCCAGCAGGCCCCCCTGGAGGTGGGGAGCTGAGCCGAGCCGAGGAGTGGTTTCCTGGGATCCCCTGCCCTGCTGAGGCAGAGTTCACATCACCCACTGTCCTACACCAACAAACCTACAGGGGTGAGCGGGCACAGCACTGTCAAAAGCACGGGGTCACCGCCCAGCCTGGCCTTCCTGGGGCATGAGGTGAGTTTGTGTTTTGATAACAGAGGTCGGGAGTCAGAGTGCTGGTGACTGCACTGCGCGCAGAGCCATGTGCAGTGTCTGTCTTCCCACAGACAAACAGCGCACAGCACACCATGCCCACTGCACCATAAGCACACCCGCGCACGCACACATACACACACACACACACAGATCGCCAGGTGACCATGGGAGCATGGGGAGCTCAGCCTTTCTGCCCAGAGTGTGCTGTAGCCAGTGTGCATGGGTCTGCAGACATCCGGCCCCGGGTCAGCAGGCGGGGGACAGACACCGATGCTGGGAGTAAGGGGCAGTGGCCCCTCAGCCAGACTCACCCTGTGCATTTTCCGCTACGTCAACACCACCTGGCCCTCCTGCCCAGGCGGTGCTCAGCTCCTATGAAGCCGGGGCCCAGAGGAAGGCTCCAGAAGCACCCTCACTGCAGGCGAGCCTGGGACTTGGCTGTGTGTGTGCTCTTGTGATCTAGTAAACAGCAGGTGGAGTGGTGCAGGGTGTATCAGACCTCGGGGTGAAGAAATCCAAGGATGCACTACAGAAAATCATCCGATCACAAAGGAAGACCTCGAGCAGGGCACAGAAGCCCTGGGAGACACCGGAAGAGGACGAGCAGGAGGCAGCAGAAGAAGAAGTCCTTCCCCATGAATTCCAGACTCCACTTCCAAAAGAGGCAAGTCATCCAGACAGGAAGTAGTAAGGACACCCAGGACGCTGTCTTGGTCTTAAGGGTGCTAAAAGTAAATGCCCTAGGCCAGGGAATTTGTAGACAACGTGAACTGAGTTCCTACATCCTAGAGGCTGGGTGTCGGCATTCGAAGGAACAGCAGCTTTGGCACTGAACCAGGTCCCATTCCTCACGTACAGCACTCCCGCCCTCCTTGGACGGTAGAAAGAGCCACACGCAACCCTTCCATCCGTGAGGGAGGAAGCCTGTGATGGTCTCACTTTCCAGGGAACCTTCCCTTCTTGCCTACAGCAGCCACTCGGTTTTCAGCATAATGAATCCTGCTGGACAGGAACCTGCAGACCACAGGGGACCGGAGCTGCCCTGCAGGCCGACCGGACCTCACCGACTAGCAGCAGGCCATGCCCTTCTCACAGCACTCAGCCCAAGGGAGCCAGGAAACAGACCTCACAAACCCAGGAAGACTTCCCAGCCACAAGGGTGTGAAAGTAGAAATCAGTAACAGCAGCAAACTCAGGCACGTCACAGATATGTAGAAACTAAGTCAACAACCAGTGCCTGAAAACAGAAATTAAAACATATCTAGAGACAAATGACAATTGAACACGCCCATGGAATGCAGTAAAAGCGGTTCTAAGAAGGAAGTTTACAATAATAAGCACTGACATTCAATAGAAGAAAGATCTCAAACAACCTAGGATTATATCACAAGGAACTAGAAAAAGAAGGCCAAGCTAAGTTTTTTTTTTTGAGACAGGGTCTCACTATGTAGATGAGATTGACGTGGAACTCACTATGTAGCCCAGGCTGGCCTCGAACTCACAGCCATCCTCCTGCCTCAGCCTCCCGAGTGTTGGGATTACAGGTGTGCACCACCCCACCTAGCTAGGACAAGCTAAGCTTAAAAGGGAGGAAAGGGAGGGAATAACCAAGACCAGAGCAGAGAGAAATGAAGACTAGAAAGATAAGAATCCATGAAACAAAGTTGATTTTTTAAAAAATGGACAAAAGTGACAAAACCTTAGTTAAATTAAGACAAAATAAGACTCGAATGAAACCAGAAGTGAAAGAGATCACACCTGATACCACAGAAGTACAAGGGCCACCATTTGAACAATTTAAGTCAACAAACTGGGTAACTTAGAAGAACTTAGTCAATTCCTGGAAATATACAAGCCAGCAAGACTGAAGCATGAAGAAACAGAACGTCCGAGCAGACCAGAGTCAGTCCGGACCCGAGCCAGAAGAATCCTCCTGACAGCCAAACCAAGGCTGGGGGCTGAGGGCCTCACCGCTCAATTCCACCAAACATTCCTAGGAAGACTCCGAACCGCCTCACTCTCTTCCAAATGCAGTGAAGACAAGGGCTACTTCCTCAATCGCCACACGAGGCCAGCGTCACAAGGGCCCTGCAAGGGACGACAGGCCAGCATCTCTGATGAGCACAGACGCCCAAATTCCCTACACACCTTCAACGAATGAAATGCAGCAATACCAAGAATCAGCATGATTGCTACAAGGAGGACGTCTCATGTGAACGTCAACACACATCATACTCCATGTAAGAAGGGGCCGGGGCGTAGCTCAGTGGTGCCGCGCCTGCCTCGCAAGCACAAGGTCCTGAGTGCGATCCCCAGTACCCCCCGCAAAAAAGAATGAAGGACAAAACCCACTGGTTGCATCAACAGATTCAGAAAAAATCCTGTGACAAAATTCAACATCCTTGCCTCATTAAAAAGGTTAAATTCCTCAGCAGATTAGGTTACAAAGGGATGTCCTCAACACAAGGAAGGGTTCAGGGTGAGAAATGCCACATCGAAAACAGAAGGAAAGAGCAAGCTAAGGGAAGGGACATCACCACACTCAACGGTGAGCAGCTGGTGACACTTCCTCCACAGCGGTGGACAGGAGACGGTGCCCGCTCTCTCCACTCTGCTCCGGGCCACACCGGAAGCCCTGGGCACTGTGATCAGGCAAGAAAAAGAAAAGGCGTCTAAACAACAGAGGAAGAGATCAAACTGTCTCTTGGCACTAAGGGCTCGAACTTCCATATGGAATCCCCCAGCTCCACGAATGCAAAGTTAGAGCTAATATGGTAAAGTTGCAGGATACAAAATCCACACGCCAAAATCTGTAGTGTTTCTGGACACTGACGATGAACTAGCCAAAAATTATCAAGAAAACCTTTACAGTAACTGGGACCGTTAAGGGAGTGAATTCAGTCGAGGAAGTGAAAGACCCGCACGCGCACTGACGGCTCTGACGCACGGATGGAAGAAAGGGAGGCTGACAAATGGAAAGGTATCCTGCGCTTGTGAGTCAGGCAAACCGTATTATCACACCGTCCACACACAGCGGTGCATCGACTGAGTGCAGTCCTGCCAGAAGTTCAATAGCATTCTGCATGGAAATAGAAAAGCAATTCAAAATTTGTACGGAACCTGGAGAGGGCCTGGACAGCCGAAGCCATCGCGAGGTGTCACACTGCCTGATTTCCACCAGGTCCAGGCAGCGGCTCTGCCTGTGTTTGTTGAATAGATGAGTGAGCGAACGAACACCTGGACCTCAGCACTGCAGGATCCGACTGCGGGGAGGAGCCGGAAGTCACACAGCACCAGACCCGGTCACTCAGGAGGACCAGGACACAGCTTCATGTTCCCGCCAGCTGCCTTTCCACCGGGGGGCGCTCGGCGGCGGCAGTCACCATATTTCTTTATCACAACTGGTGAAGACCCTCAGGAAAGAGGACTCCAGAGCTGCTGCAGGAAGGGGCCGGGACGACGGGAGGAGGGTGTGCCCAGTGAGATGGGGGGTGGGTAACGGGAGGGGTGCAGAACTGTACTGCCTCACAACTCCGACTGTTAGCACACAGCCCCTGAGAAACTCAACCCTGCTACCTGAACAGCAGTCAAGGGTGAGCCTGGAGAACCTGGAAAAGGGAGCTTTATTTCCCGGGGAGGCCGGCTGCAAAGTACAGGAGGCAAACAGGATCTGAGGACCCCAAGGGGGCAGAAGAGAAAGAACCCAGGAAGAGAAGGCGGCTGCGACCCTGGACCCTGCACCCTGTGGATATCAGGTCCCCGTTTTCCCGACCACAGCCTGGCGGTGATCTTGCCTCTGGTGCAAGCCATGTGCTGGGTCAGTGAGCCCCAGAAGCAAAGAGGAAGCAGAAAGAAGTCAGACGGAAGTCAGAAGCCACACCCACGAGACGGAACAGAAGGCAAGCAGCCTTCCAAGACGTCAGAAACACTCCTCGAATAATTTAGCTAAAGGCTGTGCCCGCAAACCTATCAAACAGCAGCCTCTTCCTTATTAGTACACGCTAGCAGCATGTGGAGCTTACATTCACCTTAGGGGGTGGGGGGCGTGTGAGCAGCAGCTCCATTGTTTTCTATTCCCCTTTCCCACCATCCCTAGGTTTCCTTCCCCCACTGTCATCATCACTCTGATTGTCAGTTCAGGGTTACAGCAGAGTGTGAACATTCACTGGGGTATCTGGTACAACACCCCAGCACCCGACTTCCGCCGAGGGACAGGTCAACTAAACCAAAACCTACAGAGAACTACGAGAGCCGAACCACGCCCTTGAATATATGGATTTACTGGATGCCTACAGAGGGGTCTATCCTGCTGCAGAAGAGCACACAGTCTTCTCAACAGCGCACGGAACTCTCTCCAGAACAGCCACACACTAGTTCATAGAGCCTGCTCAAATAAATGCGAAAGGGTCAAAATCACCCCATGGCTATCAGACCGCTGGGCAATGAAAACAGAAACAAAGTACAGGAGAAACTACAGAAAATTAAGAAACATCGAGAGCGTCACAGCACATTCTGAACACCCAGGGGGTCACGGAAGAAATCAGTGGCACGGCGCCTGCCTCTCAAATGCAAGGTCCTGAGTTCGATCCCCAGTACTGCAAAACAAAACAACAAAAGGGGGGATCAGAGCTAAACAGAAACAATGACCCTAATGGAAGGTAAAATAGGCAAAGCACCTGAAATTGTATAGGTGGGCGAGGACTTTCTGAACAGAACCCTAACTGCACAAGAAATAACAGCGAGAATCAACAAATGGGATCCTACCAAACTGGAAAGCTTCTGCACAGCCAAGGAAACAACTGACAGAGTAAAGAGATGGCCTGCAAGTGGGAAAACATTGTTGCTAGCTATTCCTCAGGCAGAGGACTAATACCTGAAATATATAAAGAACTCAAAAGGTTAGACCCTTCCCCAAAATAAAAGACCCAGTCCAAAAATGGGCAACTGAAATGAACAGACACTTCTTAGAAGAAAAGTACCAATGGCCCATAAATGCATGAAGAAACGCTCAACAACTCTGGTCATTAGAGAAATACAAATTTTAAAAGTACTACAATTTCATCTCACAACAGAAAGACAATCATCAAGAAATTAAGGGAGTAATTCCTTATCGAATACTCCCTACTCTTCAGAGTTCCTGTCTGCTCTCTCTCATATTCTGCCTGTCTCTCTCCCTCTCTCTCTCTCTCCATCTCCCCCGTTTTCTTCACCTTCAAATACACTGTCTTCTTAAAAACAAAAGAAGAAATCCAACAACAAATGTTGGAGAGGCGGCAGAGGAAAAGGAACCCTTCTCTCTTGTTGGTGGGAATCAGTATGGAGACTCCTCAAAGAACTAAAATGAGAAATTCCACTTGACCCAGCTGTTTCCCTTCTAGATATCTTCCCAAAGAGCTGAAGGCCTCACACTACAGTGCTCATACACACCCATGTATACAGCTCCACAATTCGGAACAGCTAAGTCCTGGGAGGAATCTGAACATCCAACAACAGATGACTGCAAAAGAAAATGTGGTTTCTAAACAATGGAGTACTACTTGGCTATAAAGAAGGACAAATACGAGCTACGCGTAGGAAAACAGTTATGTCTGGAAAATATAATGAATGGCAAGTGAAACAATCAGACACACACGCTTAAATATCATTTGATATCTCTCATTTCACTAAGGAAAAGAGTAAACAGAGCAAAAAAAAAAAAAGGACTCAAAGAAGGAAACCAGGAGATCTTTTGCAAACACAGGAAGGGGTGGGGCAGGGGAAGTCAAACAAGAGTTTTACCTTTAAAATTTATTTTTCATCCCAGTACTAGCAGTGAATGGTTTCCTGGTGCCGGTTTACTAAACTTGTGAAAGAACCATGGGGCAGAGGGACAGCTGCCCGGCCGCCGTCTCCTCCCTTCCTGCCCTGTTCCTGAGGCTCTGCTGCGGCAGGCACGGGGGCCACCTGGCCGGGTGACTGTGTCCTCGCAGTGGGGAGTTCCAACCTCGTTGGAGCTGGAGTCTCACTCCCCAGGGGAGTCACCTCAGAGACAAAGGGACAGGTTGGGCAGTCCAGGACAGGCTGAGGCCTGAAATGTTCCCTGTCCCTCCTGTGGCCTGTCCAAAGGCCTGGCACTGGGGTCTCCCAGCATGGACACCACCTGGGCTTCCATGGCCTCCTGTATGCCAGCGCCCGGCACAGTCAGCACAAGAAGACACGGCGGCCACCTGGCAGAGCTCCCAGGTATCTCTGGGCAGTGGCAGCAGGATCTGGTCCCTGGGGGCTGCAGAGTCCTCCTGGAAGGGGCCTTTGGTGGTCACCTGAGTGCCAGGTGTCTGAGGCCCCAGTGACCAGGTTAGCGGAGGTGGACGCCTGCCTCCTCCCCGAACAAACAGCTCCCTCCCGGCTGGCCACCCCCAGCCCTCCAGCGCCTTTCCCAGAATTCCTCCCTGCAGACCCGAGGACACATGCCACACGCAGACACAAGGAGACGGAGGTCCCCAGCCTGTGTGCTGCTGCCCAGGCCAGGATGTCGCTCTGCTCAGACCAGGAACAGGCGGCAGTTCAGAGGGAGCACTCGCAACCCTGCAAGAAGTCAACGCCTCCCTCCCAAAACTCATTCTGAGCTCTGTAAAATAGATTCTTAGACTCAACCTGGCCTTAAAGTGTTTTTTGTAGTACTGGGATTTGGGTTTTTTTTGTAGTACTGGGATTTGAATCCCGGGCTGTCACACTGAGCTACATCCCCATCCCTTTTTATATTTTATTTTGGCACAGGGTCTCTCTAAATCACTAAATAGCCCAGGTTAGGCTTGAACTTGTGATCCTCCTGCCTTAGCCTCCAGGAATCACCATGCCCTGATCTAGAGCTACAGCGTTTTTTTTAACATCCCAATGTGAGGTCCAAAAATCTGTCTTGTGGAGGACACTTCCTGATTGGGGACTAGGACCTCGCTCATCCCTCCAAATGTGGGAGATGATTGTGGGGTGTGGGGGACATGCCGAAGACTCCTGCACAGGATGCTCCTGGTGCCCAGAAAGCACGGCCTGGATTCCACTCTGACAGAATTCTGCCATCTCCAGTCGCAGCCCAGGCCACAGCCGCGGAGACCAGGAGCTCTTCCGGGGCTCAAGGCCACCGTGTCCCTGGGAGCATGGACCTGGGAGCCTCCGCGTGAGGCCATGGGACAGAGATGCAGCTGAGGGAGCTTCTGTCACTGCCACAGACGCTGGAGCAGAGCAGCACAGGGGGGAGAGGTGGCAGCGGCTCCCAAATCGCAGGTTGCAGCCCAGAGTCGCTCGGCCCCTGCGTGGTGGCCCCAGAAGGTGAGGTTCCTGCCCCCAGCTCACCGAGCGGGACTCCCCGCCCTGACTCCCAGCATCTGCTGCCACATGCGGGGTGCAGGCCGGAAGGAGCCATAAGCCTGTGCCTGGACTCCAACATCTGGGGGGCATCACAGCCCCACCCCAAAAGTGGGTCCAATGCAGGAGACAGCCAGCCACGGGGGGGCAGAGTCTCCTCGCCTGGCCAGGAAGGAGGAGCGAGCCCAGCCAAAGCCAGCACCAAGATCTGAATAAAAACACCCCAAAGCCGGGCATGCTGGTGCACACTATGGCCCCAGCTATGGGAAGCTGAGGCAGCAGGATCGCCATGGGTTCGAGGCCAGCCTGAACTATACAGCAACATCCTGTCTCAAAAAAGAAAAGAAAGAACTCCCCAGCCACAGTTGGTTCCTAGAACGTTCTTTTTTCCCCCATAAAAGGAACAGCTGCCCAAGAAGTTTTCAAACACTTTATAGTTGTTTGTTTGTGCAAATTAATTCTTTATACTTTATTTCTGTGTTAAAAATAGGCACCAAAATTTAGTAAGTATCAACTTCCAACAAATGCTCAGAAAGGGCACAGCTGACCTGCTTCCCTGGTGTCCCCCAGGGTGGCCGCAGAACTTTATAATTGTACCTTGTTCCCTGTCCTCCTGTGAGCGCCGGCTCACCAAGTTCTTTGGTCCGTTTCCCACCTGACCATTACCATCTGGTGTTCAGACTTGGGCCTGGTCCCCTCTGAGGGTTCCAGGCATCAAGGGTGGACTTCAACCACGCAGGCAGACTCAGGGTCAGTTCGACACCTGCCGAATTAATAAATAAATGGGCTCTGGCGACAGCCTTTCCTTCTGAGACAACGCGGTCTTTGTGCGGATGAGTATTAGCAAATCAATTGGAGATTAGGAAGTAAAGAGCACAATGACCTTTAGAGAGAGGCTGTCACTGGTCCACCTTGATCTCAGCTGCTGAGATTGTGGAACCGGATTTCTGCGGTTGACCAGATGCCCAAGCTGTGTGTTGCCACGGCAGCTACAGGGACTGGGACTCTGGGGCTCAGGGACATGCCAGATGGCGTCACAGCTGCCACCTCCTGGAACTCCGCTCTGCCACCCTCTCTCTAGGACTTCCACTGTTTGCAGAATTGAGAGCCTGGCTCTCCTCCTCCTGCACCTGGCTGTGCCCCATGTAGCAGGCACAGGAGAAGCCAGGCCGGGGCAGATAGGTCCCTTGTCCTAGGCTGCAGGTTGAGACGCCCTTCTGGGTACCGATTGGAAACTGCTTCCAGGTACCCGATATTTCTCTCAAGTCCTTCCCAAAACTCACTGCTGCTTCACAGAAGGTTTTCAAGACGTTTACTCCTCTAGATTTTACTTTTTTTGAGACAGGGCCTCGCTGGGTAATCTAAGCCGGCCTTGAATTTGTGGCAATCTCCTTGTCTCAGCCTCCCAGTGTAAAACTTGAATGAGCTAAAGTGACTCCATGCTAATAGGCCAGACTGTGCTTCTTCATATGCCAATTGCTACCTTGGCTGACAGCCCGCCCAGATGCAAATGGTAAGACAAAAGGTGACCACAGAACATTTCCTGCATGAGATAAGCAATGTGTTCAGAATCTTGTCCTCTGGTAGTTCTGTGAATGCCCTGACTTTTTGTTTAGAAAAACCTTATAAAAAGTACCTCAGCTCCTGAGCAGTGGCCTCTCTGAGCTACCTGGGTCCGGGAGTGGAGTGCCGTCTGGCCAGACTAATAAAGGTCTATTTACCATCTAGCCTGGTGTGTTCCCTTCTGGGTTTCTCGTTTCTCCGTCGAGCTCCCAGAGCCTAGAGCCTTGAGCTCCTGAGCAGTGGCCTCTCTGAGCTACCTGGGTCCGGGAGTGGAGTGCCGTCTGGCCAGACTAATAAAGGTCTATTTACCATCTAGCCTGGTGTGTTCCCTTCTGGGTTTCTCGTTTCTCCGTCGAGCTCCCAGAGCCTTGCTGGGTGTTAGGACCCAGCATCGTGGAGGCCTTTTCGGCTATTCACGCTCCGTGGAGCAGAAGTGAGACTGAGTCTTACACCAGGTGCCCTGATTACAGGCATGTGCCACGGGGCCTGACTCATTCCTTTAGAAAACCTAACATGCCTCCAGAATTGGGGTCCTGAGCCTCTCCTAGGTGTGACCCGGGGCCTCCAGAGATCACGTGAAGGTCAGGCTGCAGGCTTAGGGGCCCTGCCCACAGCCCAGTGCTCACCTTTGAGGACCGGCTTCTCCCCAACCGTCTGGATGCTGTAGATGGCGCTGGACAGATGCACGTCGGGAATGAGCTCCGCCAGCAGGTACCCCGAGTACCAGGCGCAGAGGGAGGCGAAAACCAGGAACACGGCCTTGAAGGCGCCTGGTGACAGGACAGGGGCACAGAAAGATGTCAGCAGAGACCCATACACTAATCCAAAATGAGAAGATGAGGATTTCGGGCAAAGGTGTTCCTACAACTGCACCCGATGCCCCTGGCGTGAGAGACCCCGGAACGAGGGCAGAAGTGACCCTTACGTGTGGGCCTGGACGCCACCAGGGGGCAGCGCCCTGGGCTGCAGCAGAGCACAGGCTTTGTGACAGAGACTGGGCGTTGGGTGAGTCAAGGACAGGGTGAGGCAGAAGGCTCCACGGCATGGGGCGGGGCAGGGGCACTGTTTCTCCCCTCCTCCTCGCTGCCCCTCCAAATCCCTGCCAGCACCAGCCCATAAAGAAGTTCAGGCTCCGTCGGGGCTCCCTCCCCCGAGGATGCCCAGCAGGGCTCCCAGCTGTCTGTGTCCCTGCCCAGGGGCTGCAGGAAGAGGGTAACTGTGGGCCGCCAGCGTGTGTGCCTGGTGCCTGCCAAGGTGCATGGGAACCACCCGCCTCTGCGACTTCCGGCGGGAGGGGCTATGGGCTCCAGAGCCTACTGCCCAGTGCCCTGCGCCACCCCTGTGCCAGGCCAGGAGCTCTGCCCCGGCTGGGGAACTCACAAACAAGCAGGCCGAATGGCTCAGCGTCCCCGTCACCCACCCACGTGCACTTGCCCTCCAAACAAACCAGACCCGCTGCGTCAAGGGCACTGCCCACTCCAAGGCTGCCTCAGATCTGCAGCTCGCGAGAACAAAAGTGAAACCCGGGCACGGGGTTGGGGGGCGTAGCCTGTGACCCCACCACTCAGGGAGGCTGAGGCAGGTGGACAAGTGGAAGCCAGCCTGGGCAACTGAGCAACCAGTGAGGCCCTAACGCAGATAAAAAATTAAAAAACGGCTGGGGACGGAGCTCAGTGTGAGGTCCCTGTTCCACCCGGGTATCACAGCCAAGCAAACAAGACATCAAAAGCAACATGGCTTTTAAACACAAGCTGGTATTATCTGGGAAGGGGAGCGGCAGAGAGGGTGGGCGGTGCCCCAGGGGTGAGGAAGCCGAGCCAAGCAAGGGCATGGTCAGATCTCAGAGAAATCAGGAGGCTCCTTCCAAAGTGGCCGCACTGACCGCCCTCGGGAGACGTGTGCTTTCCACATCACATAAACACTTTCACGTGCAGCTGCATGAAGGTACAGGCCCAGAACTGCGTCCACAGAGGACTTCTGCACCCCCATTCCCAGCCCAGTCTAACAGGAGGGGCCTGGTAGCCACGCCCACTCATTTCCGGCCAGGCCCCCTCCCCACCGCCCAGGCCCCACTCACCCACCACAGCCCCGGGGCGCATCTTCCCGGGGCGGGCACTGCTCCCCACCACCAGCTCAGGCACCTGCTGGAGCGGAAGCCTCGTTCTGGCTGCCCTCGCTCTCCTCCAAGGTCCGGTCCGCAGGCAAGGGGCGGGCCAGGGACAGGTAAACGGCAGGTGCAGACCTGGCAGGTTCCAGGGCAGCGGGCCAGGCAGGGTGTTGTCCGGAGCTGCGTCCCGGAGCTCAGGGTCATGGACCAGTCAGGACTTTTTCCCAGGGGCTGGCCGGATCCAGGGCTGGAGATGCCCCCGAAGCCCTGCTGATAAAAAGGCACCAAAGTGCCTAGGTGATGTGAGCCCCACGTCCCCAGGGTCTCCCTACAGGAAGCGGCTGCAAGAGGGAAGCCAGGCGGATCCCGTCAAAGTCAAAGCATGTCCCACAGTCAGAGCCCCTCTGAGTCACCCAGGACGGCCTCGGGGCCTGCGTGTGCTGGCACACTTGGCAGCGTGCCCGCTCCTGCTTTCTCCTTTGCTGACTGGATGAAGGAAGGACACACTCCACCCCAGGGTGCAGGCCACCCAGGGGCCCCGGGCAGGCTGGCCGGTGTGTGACTGGGTCCCACACAGAAACAGCTGTGGCTTGCCGCCAGGAGCACACCTGCAGTGCAAACACTCATCAGGTTTCAGTCACAACGGCCACAAGAGGAGGGCTGGCTCCACCACGCTGCCTTAGTCTGGAAGTGGGACCTCTGCAGGAGCTGCATCTAGGCGGCCTGCAGCATCTGCCTGCTGAGATGCTCTCGTCACATCGCTGTGTCCTCAGGTTGCAGCACTGGCCTCTAAGTCTGATAAAAGTCCCACTGCCACCCACCCAGCCACCCGTGGACATGTCCACTTCTTGGCTACTGAATGTCTTTGGGAGACCCTGCTTTCAGCTCTTTTGGACGTACATTCAGAAGTGGGACTGCTGGATCACAGGGTGGCTGTCGTTTTAGTTGTTTGAGGGACTGCTGTTCAGTGTTCCAAGGAGACACAGCACCTCCCGCTGGTGCCAACCACACCCAGGGGCCATTTCTCCACACTCTGGGTTGTTCACAGGGGCCACTCTAGCACGTAGAGGTAATAACCCTTCGTAGTTTTCATTTGCACCTCCCTGATGATTAATGATGTCAATCTTCTTTTCCTATTCTTGGCCATTTGTACGGCATCTTTGGAGGAACATCTAGTCAAGTCCTTTTCCTGTTTTCAAATTATTTATTCTTTGTTGGATTGCACAAGTTTTGTGTATATGTTTTGATGTATGTACTATACCATCCCCCTGGGAGGTGAGGTCCCTGACACAGCATGTGGACTGGCCCAATTCAGTCCACAGCAGCTGTAACTTACAGATCAAACCACACACTTCTGACCACAGTACCCCATCCTGCCATGGCCCGAATCACACACAACCCCTGAGGGAAACAGTCAAGCGTAAATACACTCCGTGACAAGAAAGAATGCGTAATCTGAGGTAGGTTCAGGACAAACTCCTGAAGTGGATTACTGAATTACAGGGTATATCAATTCTGAATTTTAACAGAGATTAACCAGCATCCCCCAGAGCAGCAAAGGCACTTTGTGCTCTTGTGGACGGCATCTGAGAACAGCCTGTTCACTCAGGCTTCCGGAACAGGACTTAGAAATCTTTTCTCAAACCATACAGAGGGGAAGATGCTGTAATGACCTCAGAATGGTGGTGTGAAACCTTGAATGTCACGAAGCCCCTCGGCCGGAGACGGAGGATTCCAACAGGACCCCTGTGATCCCCGTGCAGCCCTCCCCGGGGTCCCGCTGCTTGAGTGGAAACCACCGTGGGGCTCTAGTCCGACCTTCGCTGACCCGCATGTGCCTCCGTGAGGAGGGACGGCGCTGCACACCACATCACCCGTGCAGGATGAGGTCCAGAGGGCCTCGCCGCTCCCTCCTCGTGCTCCTGCCTTCCTCCCTGACTGGGTCACATGCCCGGCAGTGCGTGTCTTTCCACGCACGTCTCCCTCAGGGATCTTCCCCTCTCAGTTCCTCTGCATCTGCGCCCCGGGCTCGGGCACCGATCACACAGGCGCCTCTACCGGCCAGCGAGCTCCAACCCAGGTCCTCGAGAACCTCGGGCAAGACCATAGCCGACAGGCAGGGTGGCCGCCCCTCTGCCCTTCCGCTCGGCCCTGCAGCTTCCCGACAGTGGACACAGCAGTGCACAGCGAGGACAGCAGGGACAGAACCGACTGTTCAGAGTACTGCAGTCTGCGGCCAACAGGCTTTGACAGAGCAGAGGAGAAAACCACTTACACATGTGGCATCGGGGCCGATCCTGAGGAAGCCATCCCTTGTCACGCTCTGGGGACAGTGTCAAAGCAAAGACAGCAGGGTCTTCTGAGAAGCACCCCTGTCACAGACCTGCAGGGGGCCAGACCTCTCTGCACCTTCAGCTAACACAGCACACGGGAGCTGGGAGGACAGGGGGACCGAACCCTGGCCGGCACACTGAGCCGCACCCCCGGGATCTAAGTCATTCAACTGCCCAGGCTGGACTGGAACTCTGAATCCCCCTGCCTCGGCCTCCCACAGTGCTGGGATTACAAACGTGTGCCTCCATGCCTAGTTGGAAGCAATATATTTAGTACTCGAATTTCATCTTTTCAAAAAATCTGTGAAGTGGGAACTCTCCTTCTAGGAAGATCAGATGGGAGATGCACAGGACGCACTAGTGCCGACACCCTCTGACCAGAAGGGGCTTCACTGCCAGGCTCAGGGACACAGCCTCAAGGCCGCCTCGGCCTCGGCCAACCCGGTGACGCTATTCAGAGCCACACACAGCTGGGCGGCGGCAAGGTCAGCAGAAGGCACTCCGGATGGCTGGCGCAGCGCAGGGAGGGGCTTTCTGGCCCTGAGGACGCCGTGTGCGCTCTGGGGGCCACAGACCACAGCCCAGCAGCTCGGTGGAAGATACAGGGCCTTGTCTGGTCATTCAGTGGCCGAGCGTGTGTCAGGCACCTACACAACACAGGCACCCCAGTACCGCAGGAGCACACACACACGGTGAAAGATGCCAGGTTGTGAATAGCCTGGAATGTGGCAGGGAGGACAGGGAGGAGGCCAAGGCAGTGAAATCTTCCTGCCCTGCATGCAGGAAGGCGAAATTAACCTCTCAGCCTCTGAGGCAGGACCCGCCCAACAAAAGCTGAGAGGTGACAGTAGGAGCCGGTCCACCATGGACAGGGCAGCCGGGGGAGGGACCCGGACCCTCCCACAGGTGAGGAGGGACCCTCACACAGGTGAGGCCAGCAGCCTACACAAAGCCAGTCAGAAGGTGCTGCCCCAGACCAATCAGAAACCCACTAATTTCAATCCCTTCCTTTGAATCTAGTGCTATACACAGGGCCAGTCAGAAGATGCTCTTTCCAATCCTTCATTTGCATATGGGCATAGCCAATCAAAAGATACTTCCTGGTTCTTTATTTACATAGGCAGGAATCCAAGCGAGCTTTTTGATAGTGTGAGGACCAAGTTTCCAGGTCACGGTGGGCTCCCTGCCCCTTACCCAGAATAGAGTAAATGCAAAAGTTCCTTTCTGAGAAATTTCATTCTATGTGACAGTTTCCATTCTATGTGGCAGCTCCTCTGTGCTCCTGAACAATTCCACTGTATGTGGCAGTTTCCATTCTATGCTTCGGTTCCTCTTTTAGGGCCTCTCCACCCTGCTTCTGTTCCTCTTTTTAAGATAAGCTTCTTTTTATGTAATTCAATTAATATAGGAATTAAGTATAGTTGATATAAAAGCTTCTTTCTGGGTGATCTAATCAATATAGGAATTAGTTATAGCTGATATAGGAATTAATTATAGTGGACATAGATAGTCATACATCTTAGCAAAAGTCAGAAAAGAGGAATTAATTGTCTACTGAAAAGAGGAATTAATTCTCTAAAGGCATTAGGTAACTTTCCAATATGTACCCTCCCAGCACCCCATAATAAATTTGCAAATATAAACATTAGATCACGTTCCAATGTGCCCTCCCCGATGCCCCTTGATGATAAGGAAAAACTAAAAGTAGTAACAGAAAAATCCTACATAAACTTGGTTCAAAGTTGGATCCGGGCTCTCGGTCTGAAGCCGCTGTGACGGTGACACCCGAGGGTCCAGGCTCGAGCTTGCAATAAACTCCTCTTGCAATTGCATCGGACCTGACTCCTTGGTGGTCTTTGGGGACTTCGCGACTTGGGCACAACATTGGGACAGTTACACACTTGGCGTTTGCCAAGCAAGCGTGTGATAGGATGATCGCCCAATGCCTTATGTGCATGGAAGGAAGATGGCCCTAAATTTGGATCCAGAGGTCCCTTGCCCCGATCTCAGGCCTTTTCACTGCAGCCGCTCTCGCCCTGCAGAGCACACTCTTTTCCACTTTTGGGGGAATGTTCACCCTCGCTGCCTTTTCTGTGTTCTGTTCAGTCCTTTGTTCTGGACCCCAACAGGAGGAGAGAGGCCCCAGGGACCCTCTGTCGGGTAACACGACCCCCTTTCTACAAAGGGGCAGACAGCTGCCACGTGGGGCCACTTCCTTTCCATTTTGGGGAGCAGCTCTGTGTGCAGCAATGCTAACATCTGGCTCCCCAGCCAGAGGGCCAGTGCGTCCACTCAGCCTGAGCTGCAGCAGCCCAGGGCGGCACCAGAGCTTCCAAACACACTGCTCGCTGTCCGCCCACTGCTTCTTGGCGGATCTGTGTGGAACATCCTCGGCGACCCGGGGCTGTGGCTGGAGGTGTCACCCACAGACGGCGCCGGCTCCAGGCCTCCACTGCAGAAATCCAGCCCGAGACAGAGCCTGGAGGCCTGGGAGAGTCCCAAGCCTGGGCTGTGCTGACATCCTGTACTCCGAGCAGTTCCTGGGCTCCCGAAGTGCCCTGCTGTGCCCCAGGTCCTGTCACACTCTGCCAGAGCTGCAGGCCGGAAGCGGCTGAATTCAGGCAGAAGTGAGGCAAAGCTCCAGCTGGGCACGGAGGGCCTCACAGTGGGTGACCTGTCTTTGGGGAGGAAGGCACCCCACGCTCATGACCTCCACGGGCGTGGAAGCGACGGAGACAGCGGTGCAGGCTCACCTGCAGTCCTGGCACATGATGCTGTCCGCTGCCGGGAGC